GCGGTCTGAAATGGCTCGTGCAGGTCCGGCGACTCCGTGCAAATTGCTACTCGGCGTCGGTCCAGTCGGAGCGTGACCCCGAAGCTAAGGCCACTTGCGGCACCACGGCAGAGACGGTGGAGCTAGGCAAGCGCATTGCCTTTAAGAGCGTCAACTATATGCGGGGTGTGATTCGATCCACCGGTCACAACGAGCCAACCGGAGAAGAACTTGACGGAGTCGAAGGCTAATCACAGGCCATGCAAGACACCGAAGCAAGCGACGGAATGAATAGTCTGCGAGTGTTAAAGGAAATATTTAATCAACAATCTGGACGATTAACGAGAACGCGGGGTTTAATAACCCAGGCTCGAAACAAAGAAATGTATTAAATCGAGGGGAAATGCAGAACAGTTGAATAGTTGCGTACTAAATCCGGAATACTAAATCGCTCCGAATTAGACCCGTGTGCGGCGAAACCCCTTAATGCGAGAAACCTCCCAATGGACGAACCCTCCAAGAAGAAACCTGGACGAAAGCGTGGGGCTCAGGCTGACAATAGAAACGCTATCCGCCACGGATTAAAAGCGGGGCAGCTACCCGCTGATGCTAAATACATTGAAGTGAGGTTGAATATATTTCGTCGCAAACTCGAAGACGCGGTGTTGGCGGAACGCGATACGGTCACGTTGCAAGACGCGGCTCGCATCCAAAGCGTGTTGCGATGGGAACGTCATGCTGCCTTGGCTCAACGGTGGTTGACGAAGGCGGGCGATGACTTGAAGCCGGTTGATCGTTTGAAGTTCAGCGAGGCCATCGCGAAGGCGAGCACCGAACGTGACAAAGCCTTGGCGGGTTTGAAGCTGGATCGTGATCGCAAGTCCGACCTGCTCGCAACGATCTATGGTCAACCACGCATCGTTGACATGGAGGTTGAGGGCGATGACTGAGCAAGAACTGCACAAGCTTCGGGCTAGCCCCGCTGCGTTCCGTGCCAAGTTGATGATTGATGCTGGTGTTGGTCTGTGTCGTTTCAATGACGTTGTTGAAGACTGGCAACGCCAAGACTTCCTAGCGATGGATCGCGCATGGTTCCGTGCCGTTCACGGCGGCGACGTTGCGCCAAAGTTCAACCGTGCTTGGCTTGGTCGCCCTCGTGGCCATAGCAAGTCAACTGACCTCGGCATCATGGCGTCGTGGGCGTTGATTGCTTCGCCTCGCCCCCTGCGTGGCATTGCCGCTGCCGCCGACCGAGAGCAAGCCGCCATCCTTCGCGATGCTGTAGACATACTGACGCGTTGCAACCCGTGGTTGCTCGACTTCCTGGAGGTTCAACGCAACGCCGTTATCAACCCGCACACCGGCAGTCGCCTTGACATTCTCAGCAGCGACGCCCCGAGCAGCTATGGCCTTACTCCTGACTTTGTCATCGCCGATGAGGTTACGCACTGGCCGAAAGGCGACATGTGGGACTCGTTGGTATCGAGTGCGGCGAAGCGACCCAACTGCCTCATCATTTGCATCACCAACGCGGGCATCCATGACACATGGCAGGCCAACGTCCGGCAGAAGATCAGCAAAGGCGAAGGCCACGATAACTGGTACTTCAACGAGTTGGCCGGTCCTCTCGCATCATGGATCACCGAAGCAGCTCTAGCTGAGCAGAAGGCCCTATTGCCAGGACCAGCATTTGAACGGCTGTGGTTGAACCAATGGAGCAGCGGCGGTGGTGACGCTCTTACCCCCGAGACGATCGACGAGAACTTCGATCCCAACGCCAAGCCCATGTCGGGCAAGGAACTCGATCAGCAGTTCGTTGTCGGTATTGACCTTGGTCTTAAGCGTGACGCGTCAGCGATCGTCGTCTTAGCCGTCGAGCCTCACCGTGGCGGCCATATCCGCCTCGCCTACACCAAGATCTACCGCCCCGGTGACGGTGTTGGCGGAAAGGTTGACTTGATGCGGATCGAGAACGACCTCATCGAGATTGATCGCAAGTATCGACCACGCACTTATGCGTTCGATCCGTGGCAGGCGGAGTTGATGGCGCAGCGTTTGGAGTTGTGCCTGGGGAACTGGCGAGACTCGCCCTATTACAGCACCGGTGACTTGCTCCGAGAGACGCCGCCAACCGCCGAGAACCTTCGCGAGCAAGCAGCACTCACCATCCAACTCTTCAACGACCGGCGTTTGAAGTTGTACGAGTGCCCCGAGCTTCGCCGCGACCTGATGAAGCTGCGTGTTGAAGAGAAGTCCTACGGCTATCGCCTAACTAGTCCCCGCGATGCTACCGGCCACGGCGACACGTTCTCTGCCTTCGCCCTCGCACTCCCGCACGCCTACAAGCTCAGTGGCCGCAACGCCAACTATTACTGCGTCCGTTAGTCCTTTTCTTTCCCAGGAGTATCCAAATGTCAAAGCACAACGACGACTTCATCGCTGCCCACGGCGAGCCGGTCTACAGCGACAAGAATCAATGCAAGTATTTCCCCGACGGAGCCCGAATCTCTGACGCCAATTCCAGCAACTTCGCGATGTATCACGAGCCGCCCCAGTCGGCAGTGGATCGGGCGATCTTCGTCCAGCAGTACTGGAAGCTGCGGAAGGCATTCGCCGACAAGGCATTCGCGACGCTGAGGAATCAACTGACCTACAGCGTCGAAGGATTGCGCCAGAACAACGGCGGGCGTGTCCCCGTTCCCCCCAGCATGGAAGAAGTCGAGAAGCTCAAGCAACTCGCGGAGAACTGCCGCGTTGCTAACGCCAGTTTGGCTGACGCGGAGAAGTCGCTAGCCGAAGCCGAAGTTAACGTCAGCCCCGTTCGTGCGGCGCAGGCGGCGTTGGATCGTGAGCACCTTGAGAAGCACCGTGCGTTTCAAGATGCCGTGCGGGCGATCCACGTCTGACCCTCTCTCGCCCCTACGGAACCAACTTTACGGAGAAACCAACCATGTTGATTTACGTTCAGAATTATCGCTCCTACGACCTAGAGCAGCAGGAGGCCGACGACGCGAAGGAGTGGCAGGACAGTCTGTCGCCGCCGACGCTCTCGCTGCCTCAACTATTCCCTCCGACCCCTTCCCCCCAGGAGCCTAGCTTCGGCCTGCCGCTGCCGAAGATGCCGCCTAGACCTATCGATCGCCTTGTCGGCAATCGCTCGGCGAAGCCTCAACGGCCTAGCTCGGGTCGCACCGTAGCGAACGGAGTCAGGATCGCCGAGCTAGAGGGTCGGCCTCACTATGTCGTCCCCGTGGTGATGCTCAGCGGCAACGAGCGGGACGGAATGGTGATGGCCGGCTCAGGTGGTCCGGTGCTCTATCCGCCCAGCGAGACGGCGAAGACGGTCCACCTGTGGAACGGAAGGCCCATCGTCCGGGATCACCCCGACCTCCACGGTGTCTCATCGGCCAACAACCCGGATGCCTACAGCCGCCAACGTATCGGCGTGGTCTTCAATGCCCGCATTGACGGTGGGCGGTTGGTCGCCGAGGCGTGGCTTGATGTTGAACGGACCAAGGCGGTGGACTCGCGGATCGTCGATGCGGTCCTCAACGGGCGAATCCTGGAAGTCAGCACGGGCCTCTTCCTAGAGCAGACCATTCGCAACGGGACGGTCGGCGGTCGTGCCTATCGGGCCGTCGCCAGCAACTATCGCCCGGACCACTTGGCGATCCTGCCCGACACGGTTGGGGCCTGCTCGGTCAAGGACGGCTGCGGGCTGCTGCGCAACTCAGCGAACGTTCCCCGCGTTCCTTTCCTTAGCTTGCCATCGCTCGGTTGAGCGGCGGGGGCGACTCTAACTCTGAGGTGCTGACATGAAGTTCCAAGTTACCTGCGACGAACACACCCGGACCGAGGACGGCCGCAAGGTGACCTATGTCTGGGGTCAAGTCATCGAGAGCGACGTTGACCTCGTCGCCAAGTTTCCCGACGCCTTTGTTCAGGTCGATGACTTAGCGATCCCGGACACGCCCCACCTATCAGCCACCGGACCGACGCAGGGCGACCTTCCTTCCGTCCCGACCTATGGCGATGGGGTCAAGCGGCTGCCGGCGGTCGCTCTCGCCGAGCCCGAACCTGAGCCCGAACCCGAGGAGTGAGAAATAGCGTCCCCACGGCGGCGATCATCGGAGTCGGGGCAAGG